ATGACCCACAGAGGTCCCTTCCAACCCCTACTATTCTGTGATTCTGTGATTCTGTGATTCTGTGATTCTGTGAAAAAACACCACCACCCGAGACTGATATTTGAAATGGCAATCAGAAGAGGCAACACAAGTTTAATGTATACGGTCTGGCAAAGCTGCATTCTGCTTCTTTAAGAATGCATTACATATTATGAGCTTTCCTATTACAATTTTATTGCAATATTCAAGGTGTACTCAGAAGATACTATTAATTTTTTTAAATATGGGTTTATTTGTTTGCATCTTATTTTACAGTCACTCTTTCAGCCTCCAGTTTCACTTCCAAAATTAAAGCTAGTGATATTACCATATCAAAGTTTAAAATTAATTTGCGTTGTGGGACATGCCCCTTGATCTAAAATACTTCATTTTAATGAGGACACTTAATTTTCTCTAATGGAATCAGGTTCCATTCACTTAATCCAAAACTACTTTCTGAAAGAGTTGTAAGCAGTACATTTTCTCAGCACGAGTCCTCCTAAGGGTTGTCTGCATGAGAAGACTGCAGCTACACAGCTAAACTGCTCAGATTGGTCTACTTACACCATTACAAAATGTTACTGAAGTTAACCATAATTGGGTGTGCCCCACTTCTGGATCAGTTTTATTGAAGAGTTTTAAGTTTCCTAATGCAGACCAGGAACAGACAATAGAAAATCAGTTACTATTACAAGTATGTGCCAGGATGAAAAAGCTAAACGAAAATTGTCCCACCTCCCAGAGCACGAGTATCTGAACCTGCACAGCCTGGAGTATGGCCACTTCCCACCACCATTTTTGTACAGCTTCCTTCTTCCCTTTGCCCTGTTCTCTGTAACATGTTGCATACACGTAGACCATGCCGGAGCATGTCTGCTGATTAAGAGGCCGCACAAGACATTTCCGAGGAACACTTTGCATAATCTGGCTCCATGCTAGGGTGACGTTCTGCCCCCACGTACGCACAAAGGCACCCGGATAGATCAGGGCAGAGATAATCAGTGCATGGGCACAGTCGGTGCAGACATTCCTTTCCCTTACTGTGAGAGCTTGTTCCCTCCATTCAAAATAAGTGTTTGCTCTGGGGAAGGCCTGTCTTTAATAATTTTGTACATCTCATCAGCACAGAGAAATGCAATAAATACCACACATTGCGATAAACTCTGAAACACCTTCAGCACTGTGCTGACTACAGCTCTCACAATGCAGGGGCACGGCACCAAAATTATTTAAAAAACTGCATACCTTGAAAAATAGCCAGGCTGTCATCCATTTGACCAGTTTCACAACCCAAAAGACATGCTTGTAGAGCTCAGTATTCACTACTCCAGGGTCTACTACATTAGCAGTCACATGGCTTCCATTTGCAGTCAGAAGATGCTGTAGTCGATAGGTAAATAACACAAGGGCAAGTTTGCTTTGGGCATAGGCTCCATGGGGTGAATACGAACATCTGTATACAGGAGAGAAAGAGAGAGGGAGATGCACATAAAAATAATCAGAAGGAAAACAGAGTTGCGCAAACATCAGATGTACTGCATTTTGCAATATGCAGCAACCAAACAGCTCTATATTGAGTCGTCAGAAGAAAAACAGCTTAGCACTGGCAGGCGTGTTGTTTGCTGGAGTTCTGGTGATTATCCCGTCAGACACCAAGTCTGATTTATGGTGGGGAAAAAAGTCAAAATAAAATTACATGGTACCTGCTAGAATCTCTGTGTCAAACTAGTAAAAACAGAAATGCTGAGGCACCAACCCCCAGGATATCATCACCCAGAGGCTCTCAAACTACTCTCCCCTTCCTCAGTGCCCTCTTCCCACACACACATACCCTTCCCACACATACATACCCTGCTCCCACCCACTAAATCTGTGCCTGATCATACTACACCTGGTTATTACTGTTTGTATTGCAGCAGGACCTACTAGTTTCTGATGAAGGCTCCTGTGTCGGGCACGGTACAGATGAGTCAGGCAATCATTGCACCTGCCCCAGCGACACACCGGATTACACACAGGTAAAGAGATGGATCAAAAGATGGGGCAAGGAGAGCAGCTGCAAGTGTAACCACAGTTATGCCATACACAGCCTTTAGAGCAAGGATGGCTGGCTGGGTCTGTGCCAAACACGAGGCGCGATGAAGGCACACAAAGACTGAGAGTTACGGCAAAACATTACCTGTGGAGACTCCTGTGTACCTCTCTCATCTGGACGCTGAATCTGCCTTTCTTTCAAGTCAAACTTTCTAGGAACTGCTGATTAGCTGAGTTTCACCGCACACAGGCAGCAGTACTTTGTTCTTTTTTTAAATAAGCAGGTTAGTTCCAGGCAAATTAGCAGGTATGTCACTTAAACTGAGGCTCCTCCCGACTGGGGCCTCAGCATCACTTCCACAAATTCCTGCGCCGTGACAATTCACTCTTGCAACTACTGCAGCCTCTCATCTAAGCTTTTTGTGCTTAGCAGAACCAAAGGCAATTCCTGGAGTCACTGACAGCTCATAGGCAAAGCAGGCAGGACCCTAAAGCAGGGGGCTCCTGGGGGTAGCAAAACAGCCTTGCCCCGATCCCCTTTGCCTCTGCCAGTGCCTGGGGAAGCGGCGCTGCTTGCTGTCACTGCTGATGGGAGATAGAGGGGTACACACCCAGGAGCAGATCTCTCTTCCCCAGCTCTCTCCTTCGCCCTAGATGTTGTCCTGCCTCTGTGGCAGCCCCCGCAGCTCCACCTCCATCCTCTACACCTTCACCCTCAGTGCAGCAAATGTCCAGGCTGGGGGTGTTCCTGCTCTGCTGAAAAGCCTGCCTTCAGTTTTCTGTGGTTGCTACTACGTGCAACGTTTTTATTTTGAATGAATAGCAAGTTTGTTCCAGAGTTCTTTTTGTTATCTCCTTCTCATTCAGTACCTTATTTATAATATCCTGTACACCCCACCACAGAAAGCCTGGGACGCTAGCAAACAGGCTGACTCTCTGCAGACGTGTGAGGCTACTGAAGCAATTTAACTGTTCATGTTATCTGAATGGACTCAGAAACTTTGGAGACACAATGTTAAATCGTACAGCTCAGCTACAGGAAGTAAAAGACAACAGCATTGACTCTCCAGGGCAACTCTTTTTATTTTTTCTTCTTCTTTTTTCCTGCTGTATTCTTGTTCAAGCATATCACAAACAAACAGGCTACAAAAGCATTATATAAATTGAGAGAGAATAAAAAAGGACAGCTGATCATAAACAGCCCTTGCACCAACCAATGGCCTGAGCTGTAACACGCTGGATAACGTAGCGCCATCATCATAGCGATATCACCTGCGCCTCAGGTTAAATAGGGTATTTTAAGAATAAAGAATAATCACTGCATGAATATAAGAGTGACTTGGCATTAGTCAGGAAATTGCAGTTACATTTTAAATTCAGTAACATTTGTGCTCTGATCTGAGACACTCAAAATGTCACCTTACGCTTCATGCACATTTCAACCCTATAACCTGAAGGACGAGCTCCTCAGCCGCGACAGGCTTCCCGTGTGGGGCTGAGCCATGGGAAGCAGCATTCCTCCGAAGCCGGCCCTGGCAGCCAGCTGGCAGCTGACCCTGGCACTTCTCCACAGGTGCCACCACTCCCTCACCAGTGCAGAACACGAGCTGGGGCACGGGACAAGCTTCCTGAGTGGAATTAGAGTGATCTTGTCTGGCAGGCAGCTCGCAGGGAAGCTGGGCTGGGGACTACTCTGACTTGTTCTGCTTGGGTCTAGTCCTTCAGATGCCAGGCAGCAGGACGGTGAACGCTCCCCATGACTTACCATTCCCACATTTTGTGAGAGTGCTGTTTTGACTTACCTTGTGGCAACGAAGCATGAATTACAAGCATCGGATCCTCAAAAGCCTTGTACTTTGCATAGATATCTATGTCAGAGAAACACGAGTGCTGAGAAGATATAAAAAGCTACCCAATCAGCGAGGAAGCCTTTTATATCACAGCGCAGAGATGCAAATGATTTGCAAGGCAGGGGGGAATCAGACTTCAATAACATACTATAGATATGAAGGATATAAAATTGGATACACAGAGCAGACACTTCTGGCAGAACCCTGCAATGATTACCTGCTCTCTTCCCATTTTCTCTGAGTGTGCTTTTTGCTCTCCAGGAATTTGACATCAGTGGACTATGTAAGACAGAGGAATAACCTGTGATACAGAACTGACAAGGATTTTCGTTGAACAACTGTTTTGTTTGTGAGACCCCATATTATTAGAATCACGTTGTTCAAATACCACGTTGGAAAAAAAATCAACACTGGTTATTTGATTTCATTTCATGCACTATTGACTTTCTGTACCAGAAAAATAGGAGCACGTAGGCTCCTGTACCTGTACCATGATTGCATCTCCCATGCAAGTAGGTCTAGAATCACAGAATGGTTTCGGTTGGAAGGACCTTTAAAGATCATCGAGTTCCAACCCCGCTGCAGTGAGCAAAGACACCTTCCACTAGACCAGGCTGCTTAAAGCCCCATCCAACCTGGCCTTGAACACTTCCAGGGAGAAGGCATCCACAACTTCTCTGGGCAACCTGTTCCAGTGTCTTGCCACCCTCATAGCAAAGAATTTCTCCCTTATGTCCAATCTAAGTGTACCCTCTTTCAGTTTAAAACCATAAAATGTATTCCTCTTGCACATGAATGATCTGGCTTCAAAGCCTATGCATATAAATCTAGCCTCTTTTAGCGCTCTATGCTCTGTATGTACATTTTCCACACTGAATTAAAAACTATAATCGTAAACTAAAAAAATAATAATATTGACATTATGCATTCTCACATTGCTTTCATTTTCTGAAGGCTCTAAAAGCTTTCTGAACTGAAAGTGCGTACAAGAGGCCAATCAGCCCAAAGCAGAACACAGCTTACCAGCAAACCGTGCTGGTACACCAGTGCATGTGAGTTGCCTGTGACACTCAGACCCATGGGGACACAGGGTATCTATGCTTCACAGCAAGGCTCTCAAGCAGAGAAACTCTACCTCCTAACTAGGTGGGCAGCCAGGAAAAAGTCTGGTAGCTCCCGGTGGTCTATACGCACGCTGGCCAGTCAGCTAGAGAGCAAGGAGGTACTGGTGTTCAACTGCCCAGTGATCCGTCCTAATAAATACTGCCCACCAGACTCGAGCTACGCCAGACAGCACGTGCTGTGGGACAAGCGGAGCAAGGGAAGGCACTAAGCACGGACTTGGTGAGAAGTCCAGTGGGAAGGAGTGGCATGCCTGGTGTCAATAGCTTGGAGAAGTTCATGCCCACCCACTCATTCGAGCAGGGGTCTCCGTGGACCACTCTTCCCACCATGGAAAACAGTCTTCTCTGGGGGATGCCCCCCTAGAGCGTTTTGTCAGGGTGGTGCAGATAAAATAAAGCAATGCACAACTCACTAAATGGAAACTACAGGAGCAGTTAAGGCAGACAGGATTTAATTAGCTGCTTTGAAATCTGGCCAAGAGAGCAGCAATATACAAGAGCTTCTTCTTCCTTGTAAAATAAATGTTTTATTGATTCTATACTGACGAATAAAGGATCAGGATAAGGCAGGCTATGCATTTGTTGTTCAATTGATTTTTAGCAGAAATTCTAATTTTTGGCTTAAGATTTTTTGCAACATCGACTGATAAGTTTGAACTGTCATTACAAAAATTAGGAAGGAGAAGAGAAAGGGATTATTTTGTATTTTTTCCAAAAAAAAAAAAAGAAAGTATTCATTTCAGAAGTGAATGTGTGCCTTGTGGTTTGCTTATTCTTTTTTTTTTTTAATTCTTTTTTTTTCTTTTCCAGCAGAAGCTGACTTTACCACTCCTCTCCATGGTGCCATCTCCAGCAGCAGTCCCCCTAGCATGCTAGGGCAATGCATTTGTAAAAAGTAATGAGAAGCCAAATTTCAAACTGGAGCCCGTAGTGGCTAATTACGTGCTTAAATGTGGACTCGGCTGCTATCCAAGTTTGAAAACTGGATCCACGTTTAGCACCTCCCTTGGCAGCCAGTCTTACTTTGGTTTCTTTTCTGTCTGGCTTTAGTCCGTCTGTGTTCAACAGAGGTCTCCCATTTACGTCCAGTGATACCACGTTTCGTGAAGGGCATTAAGCCAGCTCGGGGTACCCACTGAGTAACAGGGGAAACACAATGGCTGCTGGGCACAGACCACTTCCTCCACACCTCTTGCGCACAAGCTCTCATGCTGCTCTCGGCTTTTTCTCTTCCATGAACAGTTGCTTTTGCCTTATGCACACATGGGGAGGAAACCGATACAGACCGACTGAAAGGAGGGTGCAGCAACCGCACTCTTTCAAAAAACCCTTCCCCACGGCATCTCGCTTCGAGAAAAGGCTCAGAGGACCTGTGGCCGTACTGACCAACACACAGCTACGTTTAACTTGGCTGGTGCTGGCAGCGGAGTTCTCCTGACGTGGAC